TAAAGAAGTTCCGCGGGAGCTTTGTGAGAGGCTTAGAAAGAAAAGAGGCTCTAAGATGAGGAAGGACCCCAGCAAAGAACATGAGAAGGGGTGCCTTCTTGGCCTGCTCTCTCTTCTGTCTTCTACATCCCCCCTCACGTGTCTATTTGGTTAATCCACGAAAAGGGCACTTCACCTATCAGATGGTTTTTAAGGATATGACATTACTGAAATGATGTCAGTAGAGATTTATTTGAAATTATAATACTATTCAGAACATATAGAGTATGTCAAATACTAGCTTGTCCAAAATGTATAAAACGGACTTAGAATCTTTTTTTTTTTTTAATACAGAAGCTTAAGCGCTTTCAGGAAGTCATGAATATTTAGTTTCAATGTGGGAAATTCACACCGTTACATGGAAAATAGATTCCTCGTAGGAGATCCCAGCCCAAGTATTCAAAGGGCTTTCAGGCTTTGGAGGTGAAAGAGACACAGTTTTTCTCGCCATTGACATAGCGTATGTCGGCTGGTTATCCTCTGCTTTCAGTCTACACAGCAAGAGGCATTTCGGCTGTCAAGCAGTGACACTTTATCAAGGAGGCTTTCAGAAAAAATGTGCTAGGGACACAGCGTGGCAGCATTAGCCAATGACATCGTCTCAGGACCCTTTCTCCCCCCCTATTTTTTTTTTTTTTAAGAAATGGAGTAAAACTATTTTGTACAATCAAAGATGACCCTATATTTTTCTTTGTTTGGTATGCTTCATCCAAGAATGATAGCTGGGGCACATCAAAGTCTACTGCTGAGCATTGGAATGGGAGCCAGGGAACTCTAATCCATCTTTTTTTTTTTTTTCTCCACAATCCTGTGCTTAATCAATTTAAGCAAATCATCCCGCCTTCTGTGCCTGAGCTTCTACAGCAACCAAATGAGGGTATCAGTATTTGTTCTACTCTCACTTTCGGAAAATTTGTCAGGAAATGTATACAATATATGAGTGCAGGTATGGGAATGCACCTATGTGTTTAAGAGTGTGCGTGTGTGTGTGTGTGTGTGAGAGAGAGAGAGATTGTTTTGTGGGAAGCAAAAAGATTAGAGTGATAGCTAAGCCTTATATAAGTATGCCATGCATTATATTATTATTTTTGTTGTATTATAAGATGGTTTATAGAAGCTAAATGCTATTTGATATAGACTGTACATTTTCTGAATTTAGAATAAGTTAGGGAGCTTTACTTATCTTTGAACGTTCACGTTTGGATATTTCAAAGCAACCGGACAATAAAACTTTATTCATTGATATCACATTTCACTGATACTTTAAGAACACCTTATGTTTTTAGAAATGATGATTTGCATATTTTCAGTTGTAGAATTTTATGGTAGGATCTTACTTTAAATGTTGCCATTATTTTGTATGTAAGGAAACAGAGGCATGGTGAGATTCTATGATTTGACCAAGCATATCATGTCAGAGCTGGAAACAATGCACTTGGTGACAACGTTTTGAGGAAAACCTGTTTCCAGGTGGCTTCTCCATTTAGGAATTATTCATTTTGTTTTCATTATATATGAAAGCCATTACCTCAGTGCCCTGGGGAACTTTGTCTAGTATCTCTCCAACCTTCCATTGTCCAAATCAAACATTGCTGTGTCCTTAGACTGAGGGTTACATATTGATTCTTCCTCTTTTCTCTCTCAAATTCCTCAGTCGACTCTGTAGGTACCTTGAATGAGTTACTGAGAGCTGATTTTTTAAATATATTTCACAACTAAAATGTTGCATTTAGATGTAATTGCCATCTAAAATAAGAGAAGTCAATGAACTAGGCTGGGAATATTGGTCACTCTGAGTCAGAATGTTGCAGGGGTCCTGGCACAAATATGAGAATGTATATGAAGGTGCATAGGTGCTAGAAGAACACCTATGACCCAACCCAAATGTTGGGAATATCCATGGAAGGCATCAGTTCTAGCTCCTCGGGAGTATCATATGGTTGAAGTCTGGGGTGATATAATCTATTTAATTATCAGTTTAATAACATGAGAATTGTAAATATGTGTGTATTCGTCTGCTAGGGGTGTTACAACAAAGTACAACAAACTGGGAGGATTCAATTGCACATTTATTGTCTTGCCACTCTGGAGGCTGGAAGTTTGAGATCAAGGTGTTAGCAGGGTGGGTTCCTCTGTGGGCTCTGAGGAAGGGATCTGTTCCAGGCCTGGTTCCTTGACTCGTACATGTTTGTCTTCTCTATGAGTCTTCTCGCATTGTCTTCTCTCTATTAATAAGTGACAGCGGTTGTTTGGGTTAGGGTCCTGAGAACCTCATTTTAACCAGATTTCCTCTATAAGTTCCCTCTCTTCAAATAAGGTCACATTTTCAGATTCTGGAGGTTAGAACTCCAACAACTTTCTTTTAGAGGGGTACAATTCAATCCAAAGCAAGGTGCTTTCTTTACTCCCTGTCTTCAAAGTGTAAACTATGACAAGTCTTCCCCTACTGTGAGGGGCTAATGATGAAAAACAAAAATGATATCCTGAGACAGTCTGGCATTGGACTTGGGATTGGAGGAGAAGAAGGGTTGCTTAGAATTGTTCTACTGGTTGAGATTATCATATAATCAGGCCATTTTCCACAGAGTGTCGGAGCATCAGACAGAGTTTGGGGAGTCTGATACCTCTGGAATACAGTGTTGTCCTTTTTCACTGTCTGACCTCTAGAGAGGGTCTTTTTGGTTGGACACTGTGTACAACAGCCCTTTCTATATCCCAAAGAAGGATTCAGCTCTCACCCAGTGGTCAGAAATCTGGGGCAGACAGAACTTGCCTATGCTGCTGCCAGTGTCCAGTACATCTCATATGAACTCTCCCCTTGTTCAAGGAAGAGCTATAACTAATTAAGTCAATGATAGACTGGATAAAGAAAATGTGGCACATACACACCCTGGAATACTATTTGACCATAAAAAAGAATGAGTCATGTTATTTGCAGGGACATGGATGAAGCTGGAAACCATAATTCTTAGCAAACTAACAAACAGAAAACTAATCACCGCGTGTTCTCACTCATAAATGGGAGTTGAACAATGAGAGAATGCATAGATACAGGGAGGGGTACCTCACACACTAGGGCCTGTTGAGGGGTAGGGGGCTGGGGGAGGGATAGCATTAAGAGAAATACTTAATGTAGATGACGGGTTGATGGGTGCAGCAAACCACCATGGCACGTGTGTACCTATGTAACAAACCTAAATAAATCTAAGTATGTTAATAAAATATAATTAACAATATAAGGCTGACATTACAACAAACAAAGGAAAATCCATAAAGCCCGAAACAATCCAGAAACAAAATCTAAATGATAAGTAATATTGATGTGCTAACATTCCTGATGGCATTTTCTTGTCTGTGTAACCAAGCTAAGTGTATTTCAATGGCAAAGAAGTGAAGAAGATAAGGTAGGCACTGGAGCTGAGACACTTACCTAAAGCTGGGTATGGACCTGCCTTTAGCAAAAATGTAGACTAGCAAAAGGAAATTCATCATTCAATAAGGTAAGAAAATTAATGAAATTTGTCTTGGTCTGAGATTTGCCTGGAAAAACATGTCATCCGCTGAGAATTTATAACCATGAGACTGCCCCACATGGGTTTGAGATTTGAACTTAAACTTCCTGCAAGGTAACAGAAAACCGTAAGTTAAGAAATTAACATAAAAACTCATCCAAGAAGTCACGGAAACAAGAAATACAGAATGTACCCCCCACCCAAGAAGTTGAGATAATGAAATGATCAAATGCAAATTATAAAATAATTATGTTTAAGATGAGAAACCTTCAGAGAGTTTTTCCTGGTGACTATATTAAATTACCTTCCCACCAACAACATACAAGGGTTCTCTTTTCTTTACGTAAGTTTCTTTAGTATGAAGAAACCAAGGCAGTTTTTAATGAAGGAAATACACAGGTGTGTGCCACCATACCCAGCTTAATTTAATTTAATTTAATTTTTTTGTATTTTAGTAGAGACAAGGTTTCACCATGTTGGCCTGGATGGTCTCGATCTCCTGACCTCATGATCCACTCGCCTTCACCTCCCAAAGTGCTGGGATTACAGGTGTGACCCACTGACCTATTTCTTGACTTTATAATGATCACCATTCTAAGTGGCATGAAAGAAACTTTATTCTAACTGGCAAGAAAGAAATTTTATTGCTGACATCTTTTTGCTTTCTCCCTTTGGTAACAACTCTGTAGTCTTTGACCTAGCCATTTTATTTTTAGGCATTAAAATGATCATCACATGCATCATTTAAAAAGAAATAAGCATTATCATTGTCATTATCACCATCATCATTTATTTAATTGATTAATTAAAGGATCAAATTGTTCTTTGTTAAATACATCTTGGTATGTGTAAAGAGTTGAGTGGCAGTTGTGGTTGGGCATACTAGTTCTGATGAAACATTAGGAGTTAAAACAGTAAATAATAGCTTTTTATTATATTATGATTATTATCCCAATAAATGCTCTACCAAAGTAAAGACATCCGTTGATGTAATTTTACATTCTTTAAACACTTTCTGATTGCTTTCTCTTACCCTTTCCTTTATTTCCCTCTATAGCAAAGATCTCATGACTATATATTAAAAACATTATAAAAACAAGCAAATGAATACACACAAAACAAATGAGTTTCTCAAGAAAGGAATTAGCCATAGTTCTAATTTGTGTAACTTTCAGCCATGGTTTGTTAACATAAAGATTATCTGTAAATCAAGCAACTGCTGTCTTGCTGGTTGGTAGCCTTCTTTTCCCCTGTGCACTTTCACATCAGTACATTGGCTCCAGATCACCCCGAATTTCAGAACTCCAACAAATGACGCGAGGACCTGGTTGCAGGAAGAGTCATCCCTTGGGAAGTCTGTATCTTGCTTAAAGTGACAGTAAACACTTTTTCTTCCCTCTACCAAAAGTCTTTGTAACTATGCCCTTCGGTGCCAATTTAGAAAACAAAACGAGAACTTAGAGCAAATTTCTGTTCTTAGTCTGTATTTTCTTTTCTTTTCTGGTGTTTGCATGTTAAATTTTATTTATTGTGCTTAAGTAGAGTAGGTATTTTATTTTTTATTCTCTTTTTCTCCTTTCTTATATTTTTTTCCCATGGTTGAACTCAGTCCTCCGTAATTTTGATCGTCTGTTGCCCTTTGATTTACATTCACTTTTCCTCCTGTTCACAGCATTATTGGAAGGAATACATCATTATGAAGCATTTTTCAAAATATAAAGTGGTGGTAAGTAGGTTTAGAATAATTAAAAGCTGTTCTCAGTTTCCTGTTCTCTTCCATCCCATCGTTTCAGTTTTGAGGATTTCCTTACACTACTCCAACTCTTTATATTTATCCAGCTTAAAATGGAAGTGAAAGCATTGTTGAGTTCTCAATTCCTCTCCTCTGGCACTAGGCTTCTGTCTATTTCTTCATGCATTTTTCATCTTCCATTAATATTTGTTGATCATCACAATATGGTAGGTGCTGTATAGCAGGGAAGGCCATCCAAAGCCACTTCAGCCACTGACGACGCAGAAAATGTCTTCTCAGCTGCTCTTGACTTCGGCAATACCATGTCTCTGTGAGTACTTAGAATCCACTTTCCAATAGTCATTTAGTCTTAAGAGAAGCTTTAGCACTTTTCCTGTAGCTTTTTGCTCTCCCTTGAACTATTATTTACCATTAAATACTATTCATGTATTCATTCCTTTTTTGCTGTGAACAACATTTGTGAGTTAAACATTGAAGTTTGAAGCCATAAAAGAATCCACTTCATAGTTGCTATAAATAGTAACACTGTTTTACAACCTTGGCTCATGACTGAAATGTACCAGTAGAAAAAGTATTGATTCGTACTGGATTCCTTCTTGTTTCAGTCCCCAAATTAGTGTCATGTTGTTCTCTATTAAAATAGTCTTTTGGTACATCCTCCTGCTCCAAACATACCATATCTGGAGGATCATATAAAGCCTGCCTGGGGAGATGGGCACTGTCATCATGGTTCCCAACCAAAGCAGGCAGTGGGGAGGCACTGCACTGGACTTTGGGATGCACTCACCTTCTCTCGCGTCCTTTATTGACTCCCCATAGGCTCAGGGCTCTGCTTTGATTGTGTCCACAGTGCATTCAGAAAACAGTTATTGGTGATGGCAGATACCTACAGGTCTTCCTAGCTAAGCTTTAGCAGAGTTGGGGGCAGGGGGAAAATGGAGGGGAGAAATCTGGCCCTGTCTACCCCAAGATGTATTGCTCTTACTCTCCTGTGTGGTCATTGTAAATCTAATACACCAGATGCTATTTTCATGGGACCTCATTAAACTGTCAGGAAAACTTTCGAGGGTCTAACCAGTGTCTCAGTAAACACCATCTCATAGTAGTTGTATTTATTTCTTTACTATTAAAAAATGCAGATGAATCCACATTCAGGAACTTTTCTTATTTCTACCATTATTTCTATGACCCCTGTTAGATGTTAATTATATTTCTTAGCAGTACAGAAAATAATACTTAGGGTTGAAAACAAGTTCTATCCTTTCATAAATTTTGTCTATAATCTGATTTGAAAAGTTCGATGTTTCAGTATTAGGTGAGAAGGTAATGAAAAATTTTATTATTTGGTTTTATTAAAGATACAATAATCAGAGATTCTGTTTTTTATTTCATTTTTGTTTTATTTTAGTATTACAATGGAAAACAAAACGAATAAACAAAAGTTTAGAGAAAATTATGGTGAAGGAAAGAAAGAAGGATGCATTTGTGCAGGCACCAATAGACATAGTTGTAAAATGTATGAAGAATCGGTAATCTGAACATATTTTTAATTGCACTGGGCCTTTTCCAGACAACAATGTTCTAGAAAGTATCCTGTGAAGAGATTCTAGTAAGTGCTAGAAAGTATGTCTCTGAGACACTGTTGCTTCTGTAAGATAATTTTTTAAGACTTAGATGATGTTACAGGTAATAAAATGTACAATTATAATATCAGAGGTTGATTTTGTTTAAATGATTATCTGAGTAGGAGAAACAAATATAAAGGTGGAAAATGATGGGAAATGATTGGTTTAATTTTTCCCTACTTTTTAACAAGCTGAGGTTTTGTTTATATGTGACCTTGATTTCTCTGGGGAAGAAATCAGAACCATATGGCAAAATTAATCTAAAGAAGCAACACAAACTAAAACTGTGAGAAGAAATTGCAGCACTCATCAACACAAATAAACGCAGAAAAAAAAAAAAAAGAGTTTGGGCTCACAGCACATCTCCAACTAAACAAGAATCTGGACCCTGTTTTAATGATATCAGGTAACTGGTCACATAGGCAAATTACATACTTAGGTCTGGAAAATATTTGGGCTCACCATGATTTCTTATTTATTGTCTTAACATAGTTACAATGAATTAGGACTTTGGATAAAATAATTAAATCTGACTTCATCTCCTACCAGAAGTTCTAGAGCTCTCCGTCTGTGGGAGTTGGTGAAATTAGGGAAGAAATTTTGGTGGAAAAGACTCAGTAGAGAAGTACAGTTCAAATAGAAATGCATGAAAGATACAGTTAATGACCTTCGTATTGTGCATGCATTTTTCTGTAACAAGCTCACTATATATTTTTTGAAATTGATACTAAATATGTTGGTGTTTTCACTTTTTCACAAAAGGTGGGAAATAAGCTAGACATTGTTTCATTTATTTGGGATTTATAGGGACCCACTTCTTTAAGCTCATAATCCTGGGTTTCAAATTTGCTATGGAATCATGATTACTAGATGGAATTTACAGGATCCACTCAACATAAAATCTTAGTACTGCTGTGACCAACTGTGGTCATCACTACCTCCACCACCTCTTCCCAGGCTCCACCCTCGTCCCCAGAGCCTGTCCTCCAGTCATCCTTGTTTATTGCGCCCTGAGACACTGCGCTAAGCTCTGCCCCATGGTATCTTGTTTCGTTTCTACAACATTTAAATAGATAAATATAATTTTTATTCAAATTTTACAGATAGGGAGGTGGAGGCTTATGGTGGTTGAGTAACTTGTGTGAAGTCACACACCTGAGAGATGGACAGCTGGGCTTTGAATCCATCGAGTCTAATCCCAGAGCTCGCATGCTAACCTCCAAACCCTGTGCAGTGCATTCATCATATCTGATGTGGGGTAGGAAGTGCAGTCTGGTGCTTTGGAGCAGAGCAAATGTAAATGGCCCACCTGGGGACTGAACCTATGACCTCAGCATGATTAGCATGGGGCTAACGAACTAACTGAAAAGCAGAAGCATATTATCCAGAATCCTCTCATATGACTTGATTGTTTTCAGGGCATGCTATGAAAGTTGAGAGGGAAATCTATTAATTTTATTCACGCACACACACACTTGACCACTTCAATTCTCATTTCTAGACAATGTTAAAGACTTCAATTTACATATACAGACAAGTTTGCATATGCATATACTTCTGTATATATGCAAATGCATATGTATGTGAATACCTGCAAACATAAACAACAGTACATATAAAATGTGGACCTCATCATAATTGTGCATTGATGCAGGCACCTCTATTTTTGTTCTTATAATTAATGTAGTGTGTATGTGGTCTCTACATGTATGTGTATAGTGACCAAAGCATCACCAATCTTGCATTTCAACAAAATTTCTGTACTTTACAGGCATTACTATTGTCACTGAAGCTCTAATGACAGAAAGATTGGACACTTTTGAAAGAGAAATTTATTTTTATGCTTTTAAAATGAAAACACAGTGTACCTTTCATTTCAAGCAGATGTAGGAAAATCTGAAGTTCTGAGCTGCTTTCTTCTTTTGGGAACTCTAAGGGCTTCCACGTAAAGTTTAAGTGATATTATGCCTTGTGGAATGAAACCATAAAGAAGGTATTATTTGGTGCTAATTATGCACAATGGTTTTATTTATGTTTCAATCACAGAGAAACACGAAAACAGCAGGGTGCTGGAGACAGCCAAACCTAGACCCCTCCCAGGTCTGTAATTTTCATCCCTGATGCTCTCTGAAATGGAGACAATCACATGTCAAGGAGAGAAGGGTAAGAGTCATTGTGACTATTCCTCTGTGATCTCCCCTGAAAAGCGATTGCTTTATCGTCGCCAAGAATTTCTGAATCCAAGTTAGAAAGGAAAAAAAAAATGCTTGCCATGTTCTTAGTACCATTTGCCTTGACAGGAAAAACAACAGCATCTTGCCTCCTCAGCTTATTCCTCATCAGTGAACTCTTCCCCAAACAAGACACTCCACATCAGCCATTTGGGATCGCTTCCATCAGTGTTGTAACGAGCTCTTCTATGCAGTTTGTACTCACTGCAAAATGTACCGAAGCCAAGAGCAAGGAGTTGGTAATCTGGGCACCCACAGTTGTGATGAGGCATCTTCAGTGTAATCGTCCAAATCAAATATTTGGCTGTGCTTCTTCAGATGCAATATCTCATATTGTCACTGTTGAACTGGCAGAGGAGCGGAGCTCGCACTGGAAGAGATGCACCCGAGGGAGCTGGGGGACGGGGTAGACCAGAGGGAGGAGAAGAGTCCTCACAGCATTCACAGCATGCCTCCTCTTCCTGTAATACCTCTCGCCCTTTGTTCATCTCGGTCATTCCTCTAAAGCTGCTGCACCCCTTGGACGAGGGCCAAACCTTTATAAAGCCAAGGAAGAATAGTAGAAAAGCATACACCTCTTTGTGGTCGAATTTTCCTTTAAGCAGCAAAGATTTCAAATAATAGTTCTCATACTAGTAGTATTTCACAATTATCCACTTCTAAGCTGTTATCTGTGAAGGTGACATGGCAGCATGCTTTTGAAATGCACCTTCTAGTCAATATAGCAATTCTCACATATGTTATTTCATTTGGTTCTTAAGACAACCCCATAAGCTAACAGTTCAGCTCAGGAACTGTTTTCCCCTTTTTTTTGTAGAAGAGACCCTAAGCACTAAAAAGGACTAATAGCTCATACAAGGAGCTGGGAAGTTACCCTCAAAATCTGTGTCCACTCTTCCCGTCTGCTATGCTACATTTCCCGCAGGACCGTGATTGCTTTTCACAAAAATTTACAGATATTTTAGGAAATATTCACTCTCGTATCAGAAATGTGTCACCCTGTGCGGTACATTTTTCAGACTAGAAAACCTCTGTGGATTTCTTTAAAATTCGTCACAAACACAATATTGTTATTTATTTTTTTTCTTTTCTAGTTGAGAGGGAAAATTGAGTATATAAACACAGCTTCTCACTAACATTCCTATGTTACTACTTTGTTCATATTATGCCCAGCTTAAATGGACTGGGTTGACTGTACTCATCACTCTCACCTGGCTCCCTTGTGCTTAATCCTCTGGCACTGATCTCTGGTTTGTTTGTTTTCTCAGGTGCAGTTGATGGCTCCTGCTTCTAAATCCACGGATACACTTTCCTGTGGTGGCTACCTACTTGGAGTTCAGAATTTCACCTGTCTTTGGACTGCCTGTTTCTGAGTTTCACTCGCCTTTTGAGACCTACTGCTACTTGTTCTAGACCTCCTGTCACTCTGTTGGCATTTGTCTATTTCTTCATTATCAAATTTTTCTGATTGATAGGTTATTCTGCCTCCTGGTCCCCAGAAACTCCCCAGGTCTACTTCAAGATTATGTTTACCTAAATAATTGGTCAATTTTTACATCCTTGTTTCTCTCAAGACCTGATCATCTCAGTTTATTTATACAGGTTATTGATAGTTATTCATATAAGTCAAACGTATCAACTGCCTGCAGTATAATGAACATGATAGATTCAGATTACAATTTTTCTTGAAACTCAGGAGGGTAATTACAGACAAAAGCAAGAGAAAATAAGCCATGGTAGAACCTTAAGCAGATAAACGAGTTGATGTAGAGAGTATTTACGACAGAATAGTCTAACAGTTCTATGAAGAATAGATTGGCAAATACGGCAACATGGCAGAGATCAATAAAAGCCATTTTAGTAAAACAGTGAAGAAAATAGCATGTGGGATTGAGAAAGAAAGGAAACTATGTATGAGGTATATTTCAAAGGAAAGAGTGATAGCTCTTTATTCATTAATCCTTCATCAGGCAGTCATTCAGTAAGTCAACACAGATTGAGCATATTTGTTAGGGATGGAATGATATGCCCTCACACCTGTGTTGAAGTCTTAACCCCTAGTACCTCAGAATGTGAACTTATTTGAAAATAGGGTGCTTGCAGATGTAATTAATTAAGATCAGATTTAAAAAATCCTCTTGTTTTTCCTTAAATATTGAGTGAGATGGACCGCTAATCTTATATGGCTGGTGTTCTTATAAAACAGGGAAACTTGGGCACAGACAGATGTGCATAGACAGAAGATGATGTGAGAAGACACAGGAGAAGATGGTCATCTACAAGCCAAGGTGAGAGGCTTGAAACAGATCCTTCCCTCATACCCTTCACTTGGAATGAGCCAACTCTGCCAACACCTTAATCTCAGAATTCTACCCTACAGAACTGTGGGAAAATAAATGGTATTTGACCCATCCCAACTGTGGTATTTTGTTAAGGAAGCCCTAGAAAATTAATGTAACATCGAAGGTGAGAAACACTCTTCTAGACACAGGAAACGTAATGGGTGGGGATGTCCCCAGCTTGGAGGAACCAGTGAATTCATTGTTCAGGCAAATAAAAGTGCACACCATGGTGACTGTCACTGCAGAAATAGGAAGTAATTGCACCTGGAAAAGAGGCAAGCTCCACTGAAGAGGTGATATTTGATCTGGAATTTAAGGATGGGCAGAGGCCAGGGTTAGTGGCTCACTCCTGTAATCCCAGCACTTTGGGAGGACGATGTGGGCAGATCACCTGAGGTCAGGAGTTTGAGACCACCCTGGCCAACATAGTGAAACCCCCTCTCTACTAAAAATACAAAAATTAGTCAGGCATGGTGGTGCACACCTGTAATCCCAGCTACTCAGGAGGCTGAGGTAGGAGAATTGCATGAACCCAGGAGGCAGAGGTTGCAATGAGCAGAGACCGCACCACTGCACTCCAGCCTCAGAAACAAGATCGAAACTCCGTCTCAAAAAAAAAAAAACAAATAAATAAAAATAAAAGGATGGGCAGAAATTTATGAGGAGGAAGCGTATTCCAAAAAGAGGCAAAGACATGGGACTTGAAATGACTTAGAGAGCTACAAGAATGTGAGGGTGGCAGGAGGGGATGTGTCCTGGGAGGGAGCTGAGAAATGACAGACCACCGAAGGCCAGAATAAGGGTGGTTCAGCTAGAAAGTGTTTATCCTAAAAACGAATCTGGAATTAGGATTCAGAATTCGAATTTAGGATTTTTATCCAAAAACTAATTAAGAATAATGAACATTTTAGAATCAGATCAGTGACATGAATGTATTGGATATTTTTGGAGGATAACTTTAAGAGGAATGTAACAGGTAGGAGGAGTGACAAAAGGAAGCAGCCTGGGCTCGGACAGGAGGCTGGCCAGGTGTCCGGTGAGAGAGCATGAGGCAACAGACTCAAGCAGTATCAGAGTGGTTAGAGGCGGAAAGGCAAGAACCCAGGGGCATTTATGAGTACAATTAGCTTGAGTTAGAATCTGAGGATGCAAGTGGTGAGAGGCAGGAGTGAGATGAAGATAATTTTAAATTAACCTAAACTTTCAGGACTTAGCATAACGCCTGGCAAATAGCAGGGGCTCTACAAAGGTTAATTATTCAAGTGACTCCCAGTCACCCCAGTTAGAAACCTAGGTGTAAACATAAGAGGCAGGATCCATTTAGAGGAAGAATTGGAAGGGGTGAGGTTGATTTGTTCCTTCACTCATTAAAAATGTACATTGAGTGGCCGAGTGTGATGGCTTATGCCTGTAATATCAGCACTTTGGGAGGCCGAGGCAGCAGATCACAAGGTCAACGAGACTATCCTGGCTAACACAGTGAAACCCCGTCTCTACTAAAAATACAAAATAAAATAAAATAAAATTAGCCGGGAATGGTGGCGGGTACCTGTAGTCCCAGCTACTTGGGAGGCTGAGGCAGAAGAATGGCGTGAACCCGGGAGGTGGACTTTGCAGTGAGCCGAGATTGTGCCACTGCACTCCAGCCTAGGCAACAGAGCGAGACTCCATCTCAAAAAAAACAAAAAACAATTACATTGAGTTTCTGTTCTCTGCTGGAGATTGAGAACGGATACAGAGTTTCTTTTAAAACAAAGTAGATTACAGTATCAGAAATATTTTGAGAATTAGTAAAAAACACATATTGCTAATGCTAAGAATATTCTGATCTACAGTTGACTTCCACAAAAGCAAGAAACAAACAAAAAACAGAACCAGATAATTTTATGCTACATAATTTATTTCAAAGTACTTTATTTATTTATTTATTTTTTTACCACTCAGTTCATCTTAAAAAGTTGTCTGACTGAAATCTTGGATAATGAAAGCTAACATAAATACTGCACATACAAAAGAGGACACTCAACCAAAGGAGAAAAAAGAGAAACTCCAAAATAATTGTAAAACAATCTGATGGAAGAGAGATATGAAAAATCTTGCCATCAAATTTTCAAATGCCAGAGAGATTTCCAAATCCAACTCACCTTCCTCCTTTTCTGTTGTCACCACAGGTGGGCTGTTGGGTATTCTCAGACACCATTTTCTCCACATCAGCCCTGGATCCCAACCCTCATGAAGCCTAGGCCCCTATCACTAACTCCTTTCTCTCAATCTCTTCCTGTGATCATCCAAGTCTCTCCCATCTTGTAAAAAGGCTCCCCCCTTTGCTGCCACTTTTATATCTCTGGTTTACCTTTGCATGACCAGGCTTCTTTAAAGTGTCTACAAGGCTACTCACTCATTCTCCTCCAACTACCTCCCTCCCTCCTGCTCCATCCCCACCCTTCACTCAGGGCAGTCTGTCTCCTGATTCCCTGACACCACTGAAACTGCATTTACCAGAGAGATACCAACAAAATATCTGGGTCTGACACAATAGCAATTCCTACCTTTCTTACTCAAACTTTCAATCACATTTGTCATTATTGATCACTGCCTCTTTTTGAAACGATGTTATCCTCTTGTTTTTCCTTAAATTTCCCTAATTCTTCCCTTTAAAACCTTCTCCTGAGTTTTTTTCCTTTAGTAAGCCCTCAGATCACTAGTTTCAAAGCTTTAATATGAATATAAATTGCATGGGCCTCACCATAAGAGACAATGATTTTATAGATTTAACAAGCATCGAATTGCTTCTAAGTCAGGGGATTCCCTTGAGAATCTCTGCCTTAAAGTTAGTGTTCATCAAGAATCCATCTTAAGCCATGATCTGTCCTGATTCCACAACCACCCCTACTGAAATTTTCATTTACTCCTGTAGCTTTAATGCCTATCTAGACCTTGATGGCTTCCCAAACTCTGCTTTCATGCCGTAACTACTCATGGCTTCCAGAGCTGATATCCAGCTATCTACTAATTTCTCAACTTGAATACATAGATCTATATAAATCACAGCCCTCAAACTTCACATGCTCAGACTAGACTCATGATAGTCCCCTCTCAGTATGTCTTCCCTGTTTTTGTATCTAAGCAAATAGCTGGTTGCCCAGGATACAAGCCAGTGCCTCATCCCAGAGCCTTTGGTCATCAAGTGCTGTTTTCAATGAAATGTGCTGCACTCACCTCACTTCGGTGACTCAGTATATCCTTTTTTTGTGCCTAACACATGATTGTTCCTATTTATCCTTCAAGTCGTTTAGATTTCTATTCCCCTGGGGACCATTTCTCACATTGTTTAGGACCCAGCTAGGTTCTTCCATTAAATTTCATACATCAATATCATAAGATGTAATATATTTTATTGTAATTATTTATTTAGCCTTTGGCCTCCATCTCTAGATTGTCATATTATTACTGGGAGGGTTTATGTTTTACTCTTTACCATTAGTATCTTGCACCTATGCCTCATTTGATGGAAAGTAAATAATTTATTGTTGAATAAATGACTACATAATCCAACATGACAAACAAAATGCAGGCAAAAGTCCTTGCAGAAGTTTTGGCCTCTCGAGTAAAAAGGCGTACCCTCATCAGAAGAAAGTGGATTGTTCTTTGTCCTATCTGGAATATGAATGTGTGCTAACTCACCAGTAATATACTTTCAAAATCTTCACAAAGTTTATTTTTAAATTTTAAGGAAATTTATCAAACATTCTAAAATTTCTACATTACATTTTCTTCCTCTCTTTCGGAATCTGGTAATTTATTTTCCTACAGGTTCAAGGACTTCTCTTTCAAAGGCTTTGTTAGTGATTCTGGAAAGGAGTTAATATGTCTCCTTTCTCCTCATAGGATACAAATGAAAATTATTCTAACATTTCTACTTTGAAGAAAAGTCTGTTAATCTTAAAAGAGAGAACTAAAGTTCAAATCAAAGAGTTGCTCTTTCTCTTTGTTATCTGTTGAAATTATCACAACAATTTCTAACTAGGGAGCTATTTCATTTGTTATACTTAATTGAAAGGAAATATTACTAATCTTTGGCGTTTTTAATCGTCTGAGCTTCTTAAATGTCTGTGTTCTTTTTCGTACACATTCTTGAAGAAATTCATTATATTTCTTTTTCTTTTGAATTTGATTTTTTCATTTCACCAAAGTCAAATATTTCCACAAGCCTTACAATGAAAATTCACCAGGACCTTGTCCTTTCTGTTTCAGTCTCCAGTTTCCAGAGGCCATAATTTTCAACAGTTTTAGTCATGCCTTATGATTTAGACTTCCATAATTTTTACTTCTATTATAATTGTTATTTCTTTTTCTATACTGTATTTTTAATGATTCCATTTTAGTATGATCCAATGACTTTCTATTGTGAAATATTTAGATTTTATGCCAAATATTATTTTTGATTGCATCAATATTAGATAATTAAATTATTATCATTTTACAAATATTATTGAAGGTAGGCTATGAAGAATTCAACAATGCATTTTATTTCTTTTGTTTTTTACTTATTTTTACTTTTTCTGTTCAAAATACTTTTAGTTGTTATTATAGTTAATAATTTTCCATTTTTGCATATGTGATATGGTGTGTATTATACAACTATTTTCTTTTTAATAGATTATGTTTCTGTTATTTTTGCATATATCCAGGTGTAGGGGTTAAATATGCTATTTGAATTTATTACAATTCAACATAAATTGATATTCCTATCACTTCCCAGACAAAGCAAGAGGCTTAAATTCCTTAAATTCAACTATACTGCTCCTTGTGCTATTTTCATGAATTTTAAATTTATGTATATCTAAACTCCACATGATTTTCTTATTGCTATTATTGTGTACAGTAAATATTCATATAGATTTATGAAAGTATTTACCCTTTGTTTTTCTCTTTATTCTTTCTTGCATTTCTGTTTACACCTAGGTTCATTTTCCTTCTGCCTAAACAGTTACTTTAGTATCACTTTTTCTGTGGGTTTGGTAACAATACATTCTGTTTTCTCTTACATGAAAATGTCCTCATTTTACTTTTATTTTTTTAAGGACCATTTAGCTGGGTATAGAATACCAGTTCACCAGTTATTTTTATTTTCTTTCAGCTCTTTGTTTCCTGGCTTCCCATGTTTTAAAAGAAGTTAATTGCCAGTCTTACTATTGCTTCTTTGATAATAATGTGCCTTTTGGTTTTTATCCATCCTTGGCTTTGTCTACTCTCTAAGTATTTGTCATTGGCTTTCTGTATTTCTATTCTTATATGCCTATATATTTTTTCTTTTATATTCTTTTTGAAAGCTGTATTAGTTTGTTTCTGGTATTTATGCTTAGAGTTTATAGTGCTTTTGAAGTATGCAATTTGATATCTCTCACTAGTTTTAAACATTTTCAGTCAGTATCTTTTCAGATATTGCTTCTATCTCATTGTTTCTTAGACTTTTGTGACTACAGTAAAAAATGAATTAGATATTTCAGTATAACACACACACACACACACACACACACACACACACACAAAATACATTTCTTATTCCCTTTTCATTATTCTTTATTCTTTTTTGTCTGTGCTTTACTCTAAGTATTTCCTACAGAATCATCTTCCAGTTCATTGATCCTCTCTTCAGCTACATGCAATCTGCTTCTAAGCACATGTAATATCTTATTTTTTCTAGATAAATTTTATTTAGTACTAATTCTCTTTACTTCTAGAATTTTCATTATATTTTATTTTGATTTTGAAAATATTGGTACAAATTCTCTATTTGTTTAGTATATAATTCAGTTGCTTTAAAGTCCAAGTCTGTTCACTATAATAGGGATGTGTTTTTGTTGTTGTTGTTGTTGTTTTGTTTTTGTCTTTATTATTGGTAGGTCTTAGATTTGTCTGAGAGCTTATTTTCCATTCCAAGAGCTGATGGGGTTTGATATTCCACCACACTTGTAAACCATTATGGGAAATCTCTGTTTAAGAATACAGAAGAGGTCACCAATTATATCAAGCCATTGTACAAATTGGAAAAGGGTTAACTTCCTGGAAGGACTCAGACTTGAGGGCTTAGACATGAGAGGTCTTAAATTAGTGAATTGATGGCTTTCTGTGAAGAATAAAGTAACTTTTCCTCTCTCACCTGACACAACTTAAAAACATGAAGCATGGTAAATACAGAGTAAACTGAATTTCAGCCTGTACTCATTCTGTCAGTGAGGTTTTTTTGTGTAAGGTGCAAACTAAGAAGCCGTTCATCATGGTCCCACATGTGGGTTGCCATAAATAAAATGTGATCCACAAAGTTTGAATGGAACCAAAGAATTTTTCAAGCCTGTTCTGAGAATATGAGGTCTGAATCTATTTAGTCTATAAAGTTTAAAATCTAATAAACATATATACAGACATACATATATCTATAGAATATAAAATTTGCTATTAAATTTTGATATAACTAACATATAAAAAAATTACCAATGTAGTATATTAAGATATTATCAAAAACACATATAAGAGACTTTTAGAAATGTTGGCAGGGGAAACTATGAACTGATACAGGTAGTTAATATCAAAAGCTCTGCCAATTTCTTTCATTCATAGGATAGTCTCTTTTATTGCACAAATAAACACTTCCACCAAGACAATGAAGACAAAAATGACAATTATATAGGAGAGAGAAAATTACTGGAGCAGTTTTGTGGACTGGATCCAGTTATAAGTGCCCATTTACTGAAGCTTAATATAGAGCCTCTACACTGAGCTTTTTAGACAATTTATAAAAGAAAATAATAAGTGACCAAAATAAGCAGTAATGCTTCTTTTTAGGGAAATAGCAAAAAATTATCTCAATTTCTTGGTGAGTCGCTCATATATATTTATAACATATATTATGTTTATTCATCTTTTATTTTCTACTTCATTGCTTATACTGTCAGGGTATCTGACTCTGAGAGGTCCTACGAAAAATCATATAAAGTCAAGAGAAGAACAGTTTTTTGTTTGTATGTTTGTCTGTTTGTTTGTTTGAGACGGAGTCTCGCTTTGTCCCCCAGGCTGGAGTGCAGTGGCCGGATCTCGGCTCACTGCAAGCTCCGCCTCCCGGGTTCACGCCATTCTCCTGCCTCAGCCTCCCGAGTAGCTGGGACCACAGGAGCCCGCCACCTCGCCGGGCTCATTTTGTTTTTGTATTTTTAGTAGAGACAGGGTTTCAGTTTTTATACTCCAGTAAGGAGTTTCTTTAAATAGCTATTTCCTTCTATTTCTTGTCATCTTTAAGAATTGTAAAGGGTCAGTTCTGATGTCTGTTTAATCAAAACTATTTAAATAAATAGCCTTTTTTTTTTTTTTTTTTTTTTTTTGACGGAGTTTGGCTCTGTCGCCCAGGCTGGAGTGCAGTGGCGTGATCTCGGTTCACTGCAAGCTCCGCCTCCCAGGTTCATGCCGTTCTCCTGCCCCAGCCTCCCAAGTAGCTGGGACTACAGGCAGCTGCCACCACGCCCGGCTATTTTTTTTTTTTTTTTTTTTTTGTATTTTTAGTAGAGATGGGGTTTCACCATGTTAGCCAGGATGGTCCCGATCTCCCGACCTCCTGATCCGCCTGCCTCGGACTCCCAAAGTGCTGGAATTACAGGCTTGAGCCACCGCGCCTTAACATAATTTTTTAAAGGGCCATTTCAGAGGCAGTGTGGAAGCAGATGCAAGGACTGGCTGTATACTATCATTAACTTAATGGTTTAGGTGACACTTGTTTCTCTCTGCAAGTATCTGTTTTTCCTCAGATTTCACATCAGTTATGTGTCCTTCATTTCTCTGAAAAAGTTCAAGGAAAATTCTTAATTTAGATTTCATCCCGCTTTTTTCTCCTAAGTGTGGGACATTTTTAGCTTTCCTGTATCTTCAAGATGAGCTGGAAGCCCTATATGCTACATATTATTTTTAACTTTTTCTCATTTGAAATATCGTAGATTTATTTCTAGTAAAATATATTAATATTTAACTCCATTTATTTAAATAGCTGCATAATATTCTGAGTATGCATATTGCCATAGTTTATTTAATCAGTCTCCTACATATAGGCATTCAGTTTTACTAAACTGTTTGTTTTTAACCATTATTACTCTTACTACTTGTTAGCACCTTTATTTTATATATGAAGCACACACATCAGGGTAATGGAAACCAACTTCCTTTTTATCTGTTTCAGACTCCATAAGCAAATGGACTGGGGCATGACTCAGTCATAGAGAACCAAACCAACTATGGCATGCAGCAGATGGCAGGATTTAGAAGATTCCACTCTGTATCTCCAGCACCCAATGTAATTGGGAACACCAGTGGTTCGTGGTCCAAGAATAACGGAAATGTCTCATGTGACAATTGTGAAATATTTTTGGACCATTAGAGCTTACTAAACAAATTTATTGAAACTTCGAATCTGGGCTAAAAGACAGACAAGCTTTAGAAGTTAATTTATGACTGAACAGATAATTTTAGCTTCCTGGAATATTTACATTTTAATGGTGCGGGGAGGAGAAAACTCCAGAAACATAGTGATATTCCTGAATTATAGAGCAGGGGACATGAATCTTGTCTTTCTCCTGATGGAAATATTTTACATTTTAAAGGGTTAGAGTAAGAAGCTAAGATCTTTTCCATTATGTTTCCAAAAAGGCTCTCAGAAGAGGAAGGGTGAGCAGTCATGTTTATCTTATATTTAAACATTCAGATTCACGTTTTAGGGGATTACTCACCTACAGCAAGAATCCCTTACATGTAGGATGACATCCGTGTTTTATCACGTCACCTCAAGAGAAAAAATTTGGGTGCTAGGGAAATTTGTGAGTATTTTTTACTATAAGTAAATAGCACTAATCTGTTGTGCTACAGAAAACTTGTGAGTGAATTACGAATACCATAATAAATATAAGTGTAAAAAATTTAACATACACAAACTTCAAACTACAGGAGCGAGAGAAAAAAACATATAAAGATGTTACGTTGCTGACTTTGAGGAAGTTAGGGGTCACAAGTCAAGGTATGAAGGAAACCTCTAGAAGTTGAAAATGGCAAGGAAAATAATTTGGGGTAGCAAAGAACTGTAAAATTAAATAACTTAAACTTAATTTAAGCTTAAATCTCTTGGAACTTTAAATTATCTTGAGCCATGAAGGAATGTGGCTATGCAGCCTGAGACATGTGACATGCAGCTGCCAACTTCTGCCTTTTTTTTTCTTCCATAAGTAATTAAGACCAAACACACCAGAGGCAGAACTACCTGGGGTCAAAAAGTAATAATCTTCCCTGGAATGTAGCAATGTGTAACCAACCAAACCACTGCGACACATGCACCTGGTCTTGTATGGAAAATGCTGTGATTCTGCTGAAACTTCTTTATTTCTACCTAGATAAGTGAAACCTTAACTCCTCCACTTGGGGAATGCTGAGCCCGTTCATTCAGAGCCTGTGTTTCTCGTATGGCTATCCTCAAGCTCTGTGCTTGAATAAACTCTGTGCTTAATCATATGTTCTAAATCTCATTATTTAAGGTTGACAAAAGGTAAAGAAAAACAAACGGGGGCTTTGAAAAGCTACGACATGATTCTGGGAATCCAGAAGGCCATGTGCATGCACATTGCCATTCATGTGCATAGGGAAAACCTGAGAAGGCCCTAATCTCTCACTTCTGGCTTTGATGCTCTGTACAAGCAAGTTGCAAAGACTAACACAGAGTTGTAAACCACCTGCGGAAGCACTAAAGGCGTGCCCCAACACACAGACCCACCTCAGCAAAGATGGAGGATGCTAAAAGGAATTGAAAAGTGAGTATCATGAACAATTCTCTGCCCACAGATTGAACAACTTAGATAAAATATACCAATCCCTTGACAGACACAAACTACCAAAACTCATTCAACAAAACATAGATAACCTGAATAATCCTATTTTTTAAGAAAATTAAGTTTACGGTTAAAAACATGCCAAAAATTAAAAAAAAAAAAAAAGATGGTTTTACGGCTGGATTACACTAAACGCTTAAGGAAGAAAATAATACCAATTCTCCATACTTCATTCAGAAAGTAGAATGAGAGGGAACACTTCCAAATCATCCCCAAACCAGACAAAGACATCACACACACAAAAATTACATAATCTCTCATAACTATAGATGCAAAAATCCACTAAAATGTTACCAGTTTACATTTGTAATATGTAAAAGGGTTAATACATCACAGCTTAGTTGGATTCTCACCAACCCTATGAAGTCACATTTAGCACTGAAAAAACAATCAATACAATTCACCGTATTAATGGACTATTTAAGAGAAAACATATAATCATATTAATAGATGCAAAAAAAGCTTTTATTAAAATTAAACACCCATTCATAATAATAATTAAGTAAACCTCTCAGCAAACTAAGAATAAAAAAGAATTTTTTTCACTTCACAAAGGATATCTTCAACAACCTACATCTAACATTATATTCTATGATAAGAGACTGGATGTTCTCATCTGCCATGGAAGAATGTATGTTCTTACCACTCCTGTTCAGCATTGTACTGGAACCTAGTTAGTGCAATCAGACAAGAACACAGAAAAAGAAAGAAAAAACAAAACATACAGATCTGAAAAAAAAAAAAAAAAACAACTGTCTCTATTCACAGATAATATATTTGTCTATGTAAAAAGAACCCCCCAAATCTACCCAAAAAAGCTCCTAGAACTAATAAGATTAGCAAGTTGGCAAGATGCAAGGATTCCATATTTGGAATTTAACCATATTCCTATATAAGAGCAATGAACAATTAAAATTTGAAATACAAACAAATACCACTTATAATTGCAGAAAAATAATAAAATAGGTAAAAATAAAATAAATGCAGGATCTGTCTCCTAAAAATACAAAACATTGATGAAAGAAATAAATATTATTAAATAAATAGAGATACATACCATGTTCATAGATTAGAAGACTCGGTATAATTAAATTGTTGATTCACAGAAATTTGATCTATATATTCCATGCAATTCCATTGAAAAACTCAACAAAAAAATTTTCATAGCTTTTTACAAGTTAACTTTAACATTATATGGAGAGTCAGGTGACTTACAATATGAAAAAACAACTCTGAACAAGAATAAAGTTGAAGAACTCAAACCATCTAATTTTAAGGTGTACTATAAAAATATTGTAATAATTACACTAAAATATTGATGAAATGATAAATACATAAACTGATGGATGAAATAGAGGACCCCAAAGTAGACCCATACTGATATAATTTATTGACTTTTGATAAAAGTGCAAAGACAATTCAATGAAGAAATAATATTTTCGACAAAAGGTATTGGAACAAATTTGTATACATATGTGGAAAAGTAAAGTTTAAAAGATACATTACACTTTTTATAAAAATTAACTCAAAATGGATCATAGGCTTAAACGTAAATATATAGTAGCATAGGAGAAAATCTCTCTAATTTGGCATTTGGCAATGATTTGAGGAATATCACACTAAAAGCACAAACCAGAAAAGAAAAAACAAAATTTGATAAATTACACTTGCCCCAGATTAAACTTTTATTCTGTGAAAGACACTGTTAAGATAATAAAATGATGATTCACAGACTATTAGAAAATATTTACAAATCATTACTGATAAAGAATTGCCTTCATAATATAGTAACAGTCCTTAAAGCTCAACACTGAAAGTATCAATAAAGGCCGGGCGCGGTGGCTCAAGCCTGTAATCCCAGCACTTTGGGAGGCCGAGACGGGCGGATCACGAGGTCAGGAGATCGAGACCATCCTGGCTAACACGGTGAAACCCCGTCTCCACTAAAAAATACAAAAAACTAGCCGGGCGTGGTGGCAGCCCCTGTAGTCCCAGCTACACGGGAGGCTGAGGCAGGAGAATGGCGTAATCCCGGGAGGCGGAGCTTGCAGTGAGGTGAGATCCGGCCACTGCACTCCAGCCTGGGCGACAGAGCGAGACTCCCTCTCAAAAAAAAAAAAAAAAAAAAAGCAATAAAAAGTGAGGAAAACATTCTGAACAGGCATTTTACTAAAGAAGGTATATGGATGGCTTGTAAGCATACGAAAAGATGTTCAACATCATGAGTCATTAGGAAAAAGGAATTAAAACTATAATTTGACACCATTTGAAACCTATTGGAATGGCAAAACTAAACTAAACGATGATAGCAGCAATAGAAACCTGACAATACTAGTGATGCAGGCAACAGGAACTCTTATTCATTTTTAAAGGCAATACAAAAGGAAATACAACCTCTTTGAAAAGTAGTTTAGCATTTTTTCTCATAAAGTTAGACATACTCTAGGACCAAGCACTTTTACTCCTATTTATTCAAACGAATTAAAAACTTATATGCACACCAAAATGTGTACATGGATGTTTATAGTAACTTTGTTCATGATATCTCAAAATGGAAAATCACCCAGATGTTAAGAGGCATATGGATAAACACACTGTGGTCCATCTATTTTTTCTCAGCAACATAAAGGGACAAGCTATTGACTTATGCAACTGCGTGGATAAATGTTCAATGCATTTTATCAAGTGAAGGAAGCCAGACCCAGAGGCTACATATTGCATGGTTCCATTTATAAGGCATACTGGGAAAGGCAAACTATAGAGACTGTTGCCCTTTCAGTGGTTGTTAGGGTTTAGGGATTGGGGAGGAGCTGACTACTACAGAGCTTCATGGATGATGGAACTGCGCTAGGTGGTTGGTACTGGGATGGTAGATACATAACTGATTGGATCCTGGAACAGATCCATGGGACTCTACATCTTAGATAATCGCTTTAGAGAGATATGCAATGTGATATCCCAGATTGGATCCTAGAACAGAAAACAAGGACGTTAGTGAAAAAAAAAATGCTGGAAATTAAATAAAGTCTGTGATTTAGTTAATATTATTAAATTGGCGCTAATTCTTAGTTTTGCTAAATGTGCTGTCGTATAAAAGATACCACATCAGGGGAGCTGGGTATATGTCATACGAGAATTCCCTGTGAAATCTTTGCAACACACCTGTCAATCAAAAAGTACTTTCAAAATAAAAAGTTAACAAATAATATGTATAGCAGAATCCCATTAAAAAAACTAAAATCATGAGCATATTTCTATAAGCACAGACAATGGTGTGAGAAAGCAGGGAAGCACAGGAACATCTCTAGGCTCTGTATTGCTTGACTTGATGCAATGCACACAAATGAATTTTCTATGAGCTAATAATCTGTATTTTTAATCTCGAGTCTACTAAGATGTAATGGTAAAAATCATAGCTCAATTATAGCATTTTGTTCAAAATCTCTGCATTAGAATTAGATTTGACCCATCTGACTCCATTACTCACTCTTACTTGGACAAGTTTTCTAAAAAAAAAAAAAAAAGCCACATTTTAATGACAATATGGTCACAAGAATAGCACATTTCTCATTTAATGTTTACATATTTGCTCTTATAGATACAATTATGTCACCAAGTGCTTCCATAAATAACACGCCAATAAGTAACACACAATCATGACACTAAGAATGCAGTACATTCGGGTTTCAGTTCTTAGGTGCAACTACCAGGAAAGGGACACAGGGTTTAATTATAATAACTAAAGAGAATATAATGTAGGAATGGAAAAGTGATATTAAGCCTGAGAAGAACTGAGTATGCTAGTGAGGAGAGGACACATGAAAGAAGGTACTCAGGCTTTGGTATTTCTCATGTTATATAGTGAGGAGTCAGAAAATGTGCTCCAATTGGCTGGGCACAGTGGCTCATACCTGTAATCCCAGCACTTCTGGAAGCTGAGGCAGGCAGATCACTTGAGGTCAGGAGTTCAAGACCAGCCTGGCCACCATGGTGAAACCTAGTCTTTACTAAAAATACAAAAATTAGCTGGATGTGGTGGTGGGTGCCTGTAATCCCAGCTACTCAGGAGGCTGAGGCAGGAGAATTGCTTGAACTTGGGAGGCAGAAGTTACAGTGAGGTGAGATCAAGGCACTGCATGCAGCCTGGGTGACAGAATGAGACCTTGTTTCAAAAAAAAAAAGAAAAAAAAAGAAAAGAAAAAGAAAATGGTGTCCAAGTATAATGGGTGGAAATAAGGCTTAAGCGTATTATTTAACATTTCATAGGTGACTACCATCATGATTAAGAAACATTGAGATGAGAAAGGGGTGGTAAAATAGGCCACATTTCTCATTTTTCAGAGTAAGCTATTAGTAGATGACACTTACAGTTGATACACCAAGAATTACAAGTATTGGCTTAATACTGTAAGTAAGCACTAGAAGAACGTAAAACCAAAGCAGTCCAAAGAGATGGCTCTGAGGAGCGGGTCTGTGGGTGATATGCTTTTATTGTGTGGGCCAGTTATCAGTTGGTTGCCTCTCAGCTCTAATTTCCTCCTTTATTGCCTGGTCTGTGAAAATGCATCTGAGCCCTATGAATGTTTGTTTTTGCCAGCTAGCACAACATTAAGTTTTGTTGGTAGA